CAGCCTTCAGAAAAAGATTCTGGAGTTCTTCTGGCCAGAGCTGCACTGGCTCTCTGTGAGTGTCCTGAGCCTCCTTCTAGGGGAGGGAAGACAGGGCCTGGTCTCCCATCTTCAGGCCCTGCAGAGATTCCTTTACAGGTAGTCAGGCATGGAGCTGCCTCTGAGGGCTCTGATACAACTGGCAGCTCTTTTATCTCCACCTGAGAGGTCTTTCCCGAGACCTCTGAGATGCCAGTCTTTTACCAGGACCTCCTCAGGACCTGGAAGCTAGTATCAGCGACCAGGTCTGTAGTGGCCACCAAGGGGGAGGACCTCCTCACAGAATTCCTGCTACACAACTCCCATCTCCATGTGCAAGTGGTGGAGCCCCACTTGGTGCACCAAAGGATGGACCTGCCTGGTGTCACCAGAATCTGAGACCTTCTGGACCATGATCTCAGGGACCAGGCCATGTGCATGGTACTGCTCATCCTCCATGTCCCTGTTGTGTGCTCCAGGAGGTGAGGGACACCTGGCCTCCAGCTTCACTTGCTTTTCTCAAGGTGGGAGGGTGCTCCCCGCTCCCAGCTCACCCCTCCGGAATTCATCATCAGGCCCCTGCCCCGTGAGCCTCCCTGACCACCCCCGACACACCACATGAGTCAGCTGAATGCCATCCAGTCATTCCTTCTGTGAACCATACCCAGAAAACACCCACACACTCTCGTGCTTCATACCATCTACTTCTTTGCCTTCATGTCCCACCCTGACACCAAGTGGCAGGACCTTATCTGATCACAACTCTGGGCAGAGTTCCCCGGGCCGTGTCCACTGACTCCTTAGATGCCTTTGTGGACTGGTGGGCAATGTCGGGGGTTCTCTGCTTAAGTGTCCCCTTCTGGTTCCCTGATTTTCAACCTTTAACATCACTCCTATTCCTGTTTTCTCCTTTTGTCCCCAGCAATCAATTATAGCCTAGACTTAGTGGTTCTTCCCCCTTTATTGAGGCTTGTCTTTAGCTATAGGCAGGCCCAGACCCACCTGTCCCAGTACTACAAATACTACACCATCCAATTTCCGCAACAAATAAGGTCTTATATAGCCTCCTTCAGGGCACAACCCTGATTCATCCCCAGGGCAGCGTGAAAAAATAGTATATGGTCATATAATGAAAGACTGAATCATAATGCATATGCACAAGGGGGCTGAATTAAGGTTGCATAGGCAACCTTGATTCTGGCACTTCCTAACTGTTAAGAGCTTGATTTTGCAAACTTAATAGTGTTCTTTTAACATAGTTTTTTGCATGTAATAATATAGACATCATTGCTCTAGGCGCAGTTATGGGTAATGAATGCTATTGGGTGCTGATATATATCACTGATCCTGTCTGGAAGTGCTAGCAGAGCCCCTCTCCAGCCAATAGAATGAAGGATTTTGGAGGGTACAAGAGGAATGTGTTGGGATACCAACTGTAAATCCAACATCTGAACTGGTATGCTGCTGAGTGTGTATTTCTGGGGGAGGGGTGCTAAGTAGTTAATGCTGCTGATTTATATGGCTCCAGTCCAGTACAAAACTGCTACCTCAGACTCTTCTCAGGCAGTGGAGTGAGACCACTTAGAAGCAGCAAAGGGAGTCTGGGGATCCAATCCCATATCAGAACTCAATGAACCTACAGATCTGATTAACTCCTTAGAGGAAAATGCATAATTTAACATGTTTGGGGGGAAATAACTAAGTAAAGAATTAGGCACATGTACACGGGAAAAGTGGACCTATGCCCTAGTTTTCACTGAAGATAAATAATTTTGAAGGTGTTAGTCCATTTCTGCGTTTCAAATGGACAAAATTAGTCAGGACAATTTTCAGGAATGAGAAGAGGTACTTTTTTCTCCAAGGCCTATAACCTGAGAAAAGCTGGCTTGTTTAATTTTAAACTTTAGGGGTGACATTCTGGCTCCACTGAATTCAACAGGAGTTTTGTCATTGACTACAGTGGAGCCCTATGACTGTATTTGTGAATTTTCATGGGATGCCATGACTTTAATCTGAGCAGATACCACTCTTGCTCATGATGGAGGGGCAGCTGGGCCAAATCTGAATGGCGTTGAGACACTCTTTCCTCTACCCCCCGTGTACACAGATTTGGGGTTTGAGCATTTAAGTGTCATGTTTTTAAGCTTTTCGCTACAGACATGAGGGCTAGAAACTTTTTTTAATGAAATCTGAGATTCTAATGAATCCACAGGACCCCACGAGCTGAGGCTTTAAGACAAATACAAATATAACTAGACTTATGAAAAAAAATCATAAGAGTTGGTAGCACTGTAGGTGGGAGATGAGGCTCTGAGCAGGTCTGCCTGGGATGGGAGTATAACCGTGGGAACAATAGTCCTGAACAGCAGCTGGGAACCATTTCTTTACTTTGACTTCTGCCCCACAGTGGAGCCCATTTTAAGTGATAGTGAGGATGCCAAGGAGGGTAGCGAATGGCTCCCACCTTCCCCAGCAGGCACTGTCTACAAGCAGATGGTCTTGACAAGGTATCACCAGTAATGCTACCACACCTTGGTAAGAAGAGCATAAAATGGCTGTTAATTTTCATATCCAAGAGAACAAGAGATCTAAGATATGGCAGAAAGTTAAGGTGGTAGCTATACCAACACCAAGAAAAGGCCATTTCCTTCCATATAGCTCCTATCCAATACCACTTCTGAGCTGTGTTTAAAAATCCTAGAGTGACTAATTCTGCAAAGACTCATGCCCACAGTAGAGCAGGCTCTGACTGATGACCAGGCAGGCTTCAGATCTTATAGGAGCACTTGTGACCAAGTTCTTGCTTTTAGCACCCATAAAGAAAATAGTTTCCAACAGAAAGAGAAGACAGGGGCTGTGTTTCTTGACTTGATGGGAGCATATGATACCACCTGGCACACAGCTGTGCTGGTCAAGTGGTCAGTGATGTTACTTCCATGTGTTGTTATGGCTATAGAAACGATGCTTTGAAACAGACAATTCCAAGAAATACTAGGCGATTAATTGAGCATTTGGAGGACCCAGCAGAATGGATTCCCTTAGGGATGGGTTCTTGCTCAAACATTTTTAAACATATTTACAGATTATCTACCTCCACCAATTTCAAGGCCATTCAAGTATGCAGATGACATCTGCCTAGCTTCAGGAGACAGAGACTTCAAAAAAAAAACTGAGGACGACCTGCACCAGTCATGTCAGCCATCAATAGCTATTGCAAGAAGTGGAGACTTAAGCCCAGTGTGTCAAGGACAGTGTTAAGTATCAGGGGGTAGCCGTGTTAATCTGTATCCACAAAAACAACAAGGAGTCCGGTGGCACCTTAAAGACTTATGCCCAAATAAAGCCGTTAGTCTTTAAGGTGCAACCGGACTCCTTGTTGTTTTTTTAAAGACAGTGTTGTCATGTTTCCATCTCAACCACACCAACACTTCACAAGAGCTCAACATTTTCTTGAATGGAGAACAACTAGCACATGGCCGAGAGCCACTAGGAGTAATTAGGAGTAACTCTAACTTACACACTTACCTACAAGGACCACCTCACTAAGGTGGCTCAAAAGACAAAGAACAGAAATGGCCTCCTAATAAGCCTGTGGGCTCAACTTGAGCAGCTAACATGCAAACACAGCACTAGCTCTCTGATACTCACATGGAAAATACTGTGCTCCTCTGTGGTTAACCTCTTCCCATACAAAGCTAGTTGATGTATAACTGAATCAAATGATGAGAATAACAGAGGCTATGTTATAAACACTGATGGCTACCAGTCCTCTCTAATATGCCTCCTCCTAACATCAGGCATTATATTGCAGCAAAGAACCTCCTTGACAAATTCCAGGAGACCCACAACTGCCACTTTCCAAAAGATATGTGGGAAGTGCCTTGCCACCGACTCATGAGTAGAAGACCAATCTGGACTATGTGACCGACCACGTCCATGGTAGATGCTGTCATATTGTGGCAAGCAGAACGGCAATGAGCTGCTTCCTCTGTAAGAAACTCCTTCCTCATCACTCAGCTTGAGGAGAGACTGCCAGGCTTCAAGCAGCCATGCTATCTCTAGTGTAAGCTCAAGCAGATCAGATGTAGGGTGGGGAGGTGTGTGGCAAATGACCACAGCCTGGGTCTCAGGAACAGTCGTCGGTGTAGCTGCAGTGCAGTTGAGGATGCTGCACACCTACTGAATGGCTGATCATTTTGTGCTGTTCTATCAGGAGGACTGTCCAGACTCCACACTGCTGATCCTGGGGCTACTGAATGACTAAAATGTGTGATGCCTTCTTCAGCCCTTTGACTTTTTTTAATGTATACGTCTCTCTTTTATCTCCCTACTTTATATTTTGGACTTTGAACTTTTTTCCATTTTTATTGTACCACTTGCGCACTTGCTAATACTATCTACATCAAACCTTCTCTCTCTCTCTCTCTCCTTTTGTCTCTCATTCATCCCTACCCCACCTTCCTACCTAATGCCTACTCTCCCTCATTCTTTTTGCCCAGTGCATGCATAGTTTAATCAGCCCCTTCTTTATCTTGTTCTCTTCCTCCTCTCATTTCCCCTCACCTTTTCTCATCCCCAATCGTTTTAGTTCCTTCTCTTCCTCATTCACTGCTCCTCTCTGAACCTTTCTTTTATTTTTTTTCTCCCTCCCTCTTCTCCCCTCTGATCATTCCCTCCCTCTGTTCCCCATGCATGGCTCAGACAGTCATTCTCCTTTGAGTCATCTCTCTCCCCAGTCCCCCCTTGCACTCTGATATCTCCCCCCCACACCCAGCTCTGACAGATGCACCCCCCACATGGAAGAGGGAAACACAGTGGGCCTCTTAGCTGGCAGGGCGTGTGACTGCCCGTGCGTCAGTAGTGTGCCGTGTTGTACAGGACACTATGTGCGTTTGCTCTAGTAGATGTGATGCTCCTGTGGGGCTGGAGCTCTTTGTAATGTAACTGTCCCTTTAAAAAAGGAGAAAGCTTCTCACAATCTACCTCTGGACAAAAGGCGCTGGGATCTGACTGCTTGACTCCAGTTCAAGAGACAGGGGAGACAGAGAGCACAGAAAGAAGGGGAAAGAGGAGACCCTGCCACAAAAGAGGTGAATGGGGGCAGGGATTGGAATTAGTGACACTGGGGAGGGAAAAGCTTTGGAGGGGAAAAGCTTTGGCTGAGTGATGCTGAAGATGCAGGGAACTGTGTGTGTCTGGATCCTATTTTTGCTGAATGGGAGTAATAACTCTAACTTGCTACTGTAGCTAGTAGGCAAGCTCAGGGTTTGCCTGTGCGAACTCAGAAACTACAAGCTACCTGCTTTGCTTGAACGTAAAGGCTGATTATGTATGTCAAAGGTATTGGATAGTGATATGTGGGGGATTGGAAGAATTTGCTACACTCTGTCTAGATAACAGTAGTATTATCAATTCCTGGGAGAAGGGGGGAGTTAAACTTCACTTATAGACTTGTATGGAAACTTAAATCCTTTTTTTATGTAGAGATCCACAGTATACATTAAAGATTGTATGTTTTGTGTCAATATCTAGTACATAAAAATACAGGGTTCATTTCTTTGTGTAACTGAGAGTGAGTTCAAAGAAACTGTGAGAAAGGATGGCAAAGGTGCACTGAATAGGTATATTTCTTAATAGTATCAATCCTCTACAGTTTATTTATCTAAGATTATTTCAATTACACTTATCTTCTATTTGGCATGTTTCACTGTTCTGACTTTTTTAAATGAACGGAGTTTTTTATTTATAAAATGAATGACAAAATTGAAGAAATTCTTGTGGTGTGCGAGGAATTTTTCTTATCAAAAAGCAAATACAGATGTGCAAGAGCAGGAAAATACAGTTGTATAGGTACAGGAGATGAATGGGGAGTTAATGTGGGGAGGGAAAGGGTATAGATTCCAAGACTTAAGTTTTCTAGAGTGTTTATTATTTGTCCACAGCTTTTGATATTCCTTAATGTAATTTTGTAGCATGGATTTAAACTCATTAAAGATCCCTTGTAAAAATGAACAGCTCATATTACTAATATCTTCTATTCTGGAGGCTGTAAGCAAAAGTATTTCTTGAGTAGAGAGTTCTACTATATCAAGGAGTATATTAAACAATTAGAATTACAAGTGATTTCTTGCAAGGCCCTAGTTTTTAGCAAGATTGTTTTGTTTAACTCATGTAATGCTAGTTTTCTGTTCCTGAAACAAATTTAAAAAAATTAAGTAACAATTTGCTTTTAGTTTCAAGGGTTTGTCAGAAGTTTGTGAAATATTGGTGTAACCTGGATTGTTTTAAACACAACTCATATTACGGCTGGTTACATCTGAAATAACCATTTAATAAAATAATCCATATACTCTCTTTGATGAACTGCTGAGTTTTCTTTATATTCTGGTTCTAATTGGTCTCATGCCATGTATAATTTATTTGCTTTGCTTTTATCAAATGTATAGTGTATAATGTATTATTGCATTCTCTCCAGAGATCTTAATGAAATAGCAAACCAGGGAACAGTCGTGATTTCGACATGCCTTTCCATGTGGAGGGGCTGGTAGCTATAATTGTATTCTATCTGGCAATCCTGTTTGTTGGAATATGGGCTGCCTGGAAAACCAAAAACAGTGGCAGCGATGGAGATCGCAGAGAAGCTATCATAGTCGGTGGAAGAGATATAGGCTTGCTAGTTGGTGGATTTACGATGACCGGTATGATAAACCCTCTTTTTTATACCTGAAACATAGCATCTCATTCTTTCTTTCATGTGAATAAAAGATATAGGCAATATTGTGTTTTGAATAATGCAAAGTGGAGAAAAGAAATCTTAATTTCAATGCACAGTCATGATTTAAGATGGATGATTTTTGTTTGTTTGATACTGTATTTGTTTAATGCATAAGTAAATATGCCAGTCATTTAAATAATCATTATTATATTCTAAAGGAAGAATTAACTCTATTTATTTTACACTTATGCCGTATTAATCAGTAAAATAGAGACGTTTTGGGGCAGTAATTATTTTAAATAGAAGACTGAGTCATCAGAATTTTTCAGTGGAGTGAATATACAGTTACTTTTATTATAGCATCCCAAACCTGTGGGTTAGAGATGTGTTTTAGGAGAGAAAAAACTTTAAATGCAGAAAGGAATGGGAAAATATGCTGCAGAAAGAGCATTTTTGATGCACTGGGCCAAATTTAATTCCATTGATTTCAATAGAATTACACAAGGGATTATTTTGGCCTATTTTGCCATAGTTTGGCAAAATGACTTAATATTGTATTGTGCATATTCATATTAGCGGACAGAGATTAGGAGAAGATTTGAGTTCTACTTTCAATCATACCAGCGCAACCTCTGAGACTCAAAGGGGTGCACTGGAGTGTCTGGGAGAACCACTGGACTAACGGAAGACAATGGGGCTACTTGTGTGAGTAACTCTTCAGTACTATGAGTAAAAGCATCACAATCTGGCCCTAAATTACAAGTGTTTTCAGATATTCTATCTAATTTGTACAAAATTACATTGTATACAAACTGAACTGACGTCATCTATTTATTTAAACATATGTCATTTTGTTTTAGAATCGTTCACATTTGTGATATTCTTAATGCAATTCCAACATGAAGCCCTTACACCTCCAGTTTAGATTGATCAGATTCTATTGACATTTCTTTCTTGTGCTGTATTTCCAGCTTCAGAGTTAAGGAAGAGACTCATAAAAACTAAGAGCAAAATTCTGTGGTCCTTAATCAAGCAGAATTCCCACTGACTGCAATAGGAATTTTGCCCACTTAAGGACTGCAGATTTGGTTGTAGAGCAGGAAAATTGTTCAGGATGTTGTTTAAAGCCAATAGATTCTGAATCAAGACTAAAACTCTACTTTCCTCCCTCCACTGTTGTGTAGTGTAGTGTGTTCCTGTTGCCTGCTGAACTGTCACCTCTCCATTCAAAGGGGGCTAGATATCGTTGACTAACTCTGGTTGGAACTTATTCGCCAAAATGAGGCACGTCACCAGTAGAAGTGACTGGAAGATGACGATTCCATTTTGTGGCAACTTCTGAAGTTTCAAAATTTGTTTTACTTCCACCTTGGAATGAAACCAAAACCTCTCAAAAATTTTCAGGAGAGGAGGGTGTGGGGAGGCTGATGGTTAGGGTTAGGCCTCCGCTGTGGGAGACCCACATACAAATCCCTGCTCTGCCTGATGAAAAACTCCGTTCTGAATCAGGCAGAGCAGGGACTTGAACCTAGGTCTATCACATCCCAGTCCTAACCACCAGGACACACACATCCTCCTGACACAGTGCCGTTATTATGAAAACATTCCAAAGATTTTTCTCCCAAAACAAAGGAAGAACAAAAACAATTTTTTTTTTGAAACCTCAAATGTTGCCGCAAAACAGAATTGTCATCCCCTGATCATCTGTGCTGGTGATGTTTCCTGTATTCACACAGGATCCAGTCCTGATGTCTTTGCTCAGGTAAAAATCCCATGTACTTTAAAGTGTAAGGCTCGATCATCCAAAGACTGATGCACATGCTTAATTTTACGTGCTGTGAGTAGCCCCGCTGAAGTTAATGTGGGACTACCAACCATGCATAAAGTTAGTCCCATTCTAAGTTCAATGGCACTTCGCACAGCGCTCAAATGTACGTGTATTCATACATCTATGCAGAATCAGGGCCTAACTCTTGTTTGAATAGGGATGATTGGGCCACACAGTTTGTAAAGCAGGAATGAAAGGCAATTTTTAAATGTAAGATGATAATCAACCATAATATACACAAAACTGCCATGTTACGCCTTGGTATTTTGATGTCTCCGAACAATGGGAGATTTTGATTTTTGGAGAGTATCTTGTGATATCCAGGCAGAACGAGTTAAAGGGAAGTATTTTAGTTTGAGCTTTGAAATTCCTGAATTTTAGGAATATTATTCCAACATAAATACATACCATTAATTCCCTTAATTGTTTAAATGCTAATTCAAAAACAAAGCCTGACATGTAAATGAGAACGTAAATGAAAAACTGCTTATTGAGCATCACAGCACACCCATAGCACAAACATGTGGGAACAAAAAAACTTTAAAATTGTATTTATTAGAATAGGGCCCAATTCTGCTACCTTGACTCCTGCTGAGTAGTGTCGTACTCCACAAGTAGTACCACTGAAATCAAAGGAGTGACTCCTAGGGTAAGGTGTTACTCAACACAAGGGTGGCAGAACTGAGTACCTAGATTTTAATATCAAATTTATGGCCCAGTCCTGGAGTCCATGGGAATTTTTGGATTGAATTCAATGGGAGTAGGATCAGGCCCTTAGATTTATTAAAGTTTATTTTGTAAATAAGCATTTGGACAGTTTATAAAATATATACACCCAATGAATAATGTCAATGGGGAAAATCTAAATGGAGGTTTATGTTTCTTAAGAAACAGCTGTATTAAAAAGTAAATAATATGTTTTGACACAAAACGGTTCAAAGCTGAACATATCTGCTGTTCTCAAAATACAAAGAGTTAGAAGACTGAATTATGGTCAAATCACAAAATTTTATTTTAAACCTGAAATTGTTTAAGATGTATTGAAGAACAAATTAAGCCTTTAACTCATATATCATTTTATATGTATAAATTTGAATATGAACAAATTATTAGCATTTTATTTAGTGAAAAAAATTACCTCGGAGATGAGATCTGTGGCAAATTTCAGCCCACCATAAATGTTTATGGCTGTGATTAAACCCTGGGGGAAACTCTGGGAGTTGTTTAATCAAAATGCTGCCACAGCCTAACAATAATGCTCCAAATGGAGCCATGATAATAATGATCCTCGGACACTGTTCTTTATTTTAGTCAGAGAGAGCACTACATTTTCTTACACAATGAAAAATGATCAATATGATGCTTGTGTGATCAGTAACTTTGTTTTACAAAATCTCAGCTTGATAACAATTTGAGTGATCAGTCAGCAGATTGTTTTATAAAGAAATGCTAGCTGGTTTTCTATCTGCGTAACTACTAGAAAAATCCAATATTGTGATACGTGTTGACATGGAAGGTTCATTTAATATGAATTTCTGTGTTTCTCATCTGAACTAAAAGCAGAATTTGACTCCACATCATAATCTATAACATCGTAATCCAAAACATAATCTATAACATTTCTCTTGGTGTACATTTAAAATGGAAAGTTGGTGTTGTCTGTATTTCATCCGAAGTGTAGGCAGATAAAAGATTAAAATAGTCTCCCATATGTGACTGACTCTGTAGATTACTAGTTTTTTATTCTCTGTGGCTGGCTTGTTTAAAAAAGGGAGATCACACAATAACTACATTAAAATAACTTTAAAAGTGGGGCTTAGCAAAGCTAAGTATCAGAAAATATACATCTAAGAATGAAATTTCATCCTTATGTCATCCCAGCCATTACGGCTCTTATTTACTTATTTATTATGATGTATGCATTCCCAAAAGGGTACCTTCCCAATGTTCTAGGTACTTTCAACAGATGTTTAAAAGACAGTCTTGCAAATTAAAATATAATTAGAAGCCACTCCTCACCCCCAAATCCAGAAACTGACCAACCAAAAAATTAATACTGAACAATATTCCACTGTATCCTCAAATACCAGCCCTTTCTCCTGAAAGTCTGGGAAAATAGATGAGCTCTGCAACGTCCAGTGAAGATTAACCAATTTGGGCTATTTGTGATAAGAGTGGAAAGTCATGGTTCTTCCATGGAGAATGTCCAATCAACAGCCTCTCTCTCTTACAGACTGATCTTGCTCTTGCCCAAGCACCTGCCTTGATCATAGCTATGGCAACAAGAGAGGCAATACCCTAAGTGGGTATGAAATAGATTTCCTGAGGTTTGCACAGATCTCAGAGATCTGATTCTGGGGGCAGAACTCCCTGTTCATGGGGGAGGTGGTGAGAGCTAACACCACCCCCACAGAATGGTTCAGGAAAAGGTCTATTAAGAGATCCTCAGGTATAACCAGGTCAAGAGATGCTCTGCGCCATTGTCAGAACATTCTAAATATCAGAAAGAACAATACAATGATCTGTTATCTTATATATGTAACCATGTATGTACATGAGTATTACTGCATGAGCAGTTTTGTGAGGGAAGGAAACCGAAATGACCATGAAGTGAAGCCCAGCTGTTCTTTCCTAAAATGAGAGATTATCCCATTAGAAATGTGTTAATATATTAGAAACAGCACCTCAGAATTTTTGTCTTACTCATAGAGTATATGATAAAATAAAATAAAAATAAGTGTTCGGTCTGGTACTAAGGAAGCTGGTCAGTATTTCTGGGTGAAAAAGGTTGTGCTGGACAAAATAATCCCTTCTGTGCATTCAGAGCCCTGATATACATACTCCTATATGATTTATAGCAGGTATAAAATGCCTAAGCAGCATAGGAAGAGAAGTGGGTGTTCTGGAATGAGAAAGTCAGGGGTCCAGACCTGTTACTCCCCATCCCAAATGCAACCAATGCTTGGTGCAATTGATCTGACTCAGCCAACAAGTTATTCCAGCCTGGGACTTTGAGTACTGGGCACCACTCTACAGATTCTATGTCCACCTTCCCTAGTGAAGAAGGTAAAACATCCTTCCATCCACCTAAGCATTTTCAATGTAGACATTACAATCATAGTATCTAGGCACTTCTATCCCATTACTATATACTCTTTAACACACAGCTAGCAACACATATCACAGGCATGTCAGGACACTGGAAAACCAAACTAGACTGGACCATGTTTTCTCTAGCTTTTCCACCCATCCCTGTTAGGCGATACAAAAGCCTATAGTATGAGCAGTATGTCAGTGATTCTGTAATATTGGGTCCTGGTGCCAGGGATCAGTAATGGGGTGAGTGCTCTTTCTGTCTCTTGATATCTGGGCATGCATTATTATCATTGCCAGTGTCTGTGTATTGTGCAATAAATCTTGGCAAGCTACCAAGATGTCCACTGACAACAGCAGGATCACAGGGAGAAGGATTTGGCAACTCTTACCAGGAGCAGATCTTCCACTGCTGTCCCAAATATATCTCCTACAAAGATTTGCAGCTGAATACTGGACCAGGGCTATGATTCTGAATGCAGAGTAGAAGATATTAATTATTTCTCTTTGTAGCCAGAACTCCACTGTTAGCTTTGTTCCTTAGCCTATGGAAACGTACAAGATTTAGCTTCACCATTTAAAAAACACACAAACCCACATTTTGTACCTGCTCAGTGATATTATTACAGAAAGTGTGGGGCGAATACTGTAAACAATCTCCCATAAAAGTTTATTAACATTTTTAAATAAATTTGTTTCATCTGTGTTCACCCCCCACTTGTCTTTGCTTTCTTCAAATATTCTAACAAATTAGTTTATTGGCATGAATGTTTGTAGAAACAGTGACTGCTGACAGCGTATTGCAGAATACTCAGAGAAAGTGAATTTCGAATCACAAGTTTTTACACTGGAAGTATGATTCTAAGAGTTACATTCCTTCTCATCTAATCAGGGAATAAGAACCAAATCTTGTGACCTCTGTGCCCAATCAAAACTGCGCAGGTTTTGCATTTCAAAAATCTAACATTAGTAATGAACTGCCCATGAACAAACTACAGACCCAAACATTAATTCATAAATATTTTTCAGAGAGTATCTGTACAAATACATTAGAGAAAATCAAGATCTATTTGCAGACAATCTGCAAACAGGAAAAGAAATCATATTCACTGCAATTATTTGCTATGAATTATTTGCCCAGATCTAATTACAATACACTTCTGTGTGTGAGATCTGCATTTGAGACTTAGTCTTGATCCTCAGCCTCCCAGGTCTGGCAATCTGCCACCAGAGACAGAATGAGTGCATTAGCTTCCAGTGGTTGGGAATATCACAAATATTGCAGTTCTTCGTGTGAATGAAAGCAGGACCTCTACATATAGCACAACTCAGTTCAGGAATGTATCTTTAGAAAGCTTCAATACAGATGAGACAAAGTCTAAAAATTTTGGTAGAAGGACATGCCCACCGTAGCTCTAATTTTTTTAAATGGCATTTGTAGAACTGAAAATTGGCCAAATCTAGAGATTTTTTAACTTAGCTGGAGAGTGAAACTCGAGACATATTTTAAGGACCCTCATTGGTTAAACTCTTGTTAAATTTAAACGTTAAGAATTTTCTGAGTTGAGTTCAGCTTATAGTTGTATGATAAATGTTGACCATCAAAATAGGGTTTATGTTTTCAGTTCTTCCTTCTCTTCTTTTTCAGCCACCTGGGTTGGAGGAGGCTATATCAACGGGACAGCAGAAGCTGTGTATGTCCCAGGCTACGGGCTGGCTTGGGCTCAGGCACCCATTGGCTATTCCCTTAGTCTGGTTTTAGGTAAGCAAAAATAAATTAGTCTCTCCATTTCTTAAAATATACAGATGTTAAAATTGTTATTGGAATGCCCACAATTAGGGCCTGATGCAAAGGGCATTACCATTAATGGTGGTCCTTCCAGTGCCTTTAATGGGCTTTCAATCAGGCCCTTTGAAAGGAAACTAATGCATTACTAATTACTGGAAATAATTTGATATCTTAACTCACCAAGACTTCCTTTGACATCTAGAGGTTAACCCTTCTGAATGCACTAGAGGACTACTACAGTAATATAAAGCTTTTATTTTGAGTAGATTTTGTTTCTTTCAAATCTGTCAAAGAAAGGTACTATATATGGCCCTCATCACCTTAATATCTGAGAACAATCTTGAATGTGTTTATCCTCACAATACCCCTTTGAGGCAGCAAAGTGCTATTATCAAGATTTTACAGGCAGAGAGCTGAGGCACAGAGGCTAAGTGATGTGCCCAAGGTCACATAGGAAAGATGTGGCAGAGCAAGGAATTGAACTGAAGGTTCTCAACCCCTATGCTAGTGCCCTAAACAGTGGACCTTCCTTCCCCTCAAATTCAGAATGAAAGCCAAAGTGATATACCAAAATTAGGAGGCTTACACTGAATGGGTGCTAGTATGTAAGGTATAAAGTATTGACAGTGTAGTTGTTCGTTTGTTTTTTAAATACAGTACTTCTGACTTCATAAATATAGTCTTACGGTTGTTTTAAATGAACATAGTATATTTTATTTGCTCAAAAGGGAGTTGGTCTGACATCACAATTCCTTTTTTTAATTTAAAAAAAATCAGAAAGTAAAATTCATTGTAGAACAGGGGCTCTCAGATTTCTTCATAGGGTGGCGCACCACTTAATAAAGCTATTGTCTTGTGAACCACTGGTCTTCCCATGCACAATAGTATAGATTAACTCCTGACTGGTTTGTCATCATCTTATTATTTAACATGAGATCCCTGTATCAACTACAGCAATTGTTTGAATGGAAAAGTACTATTAGGAATGTATGTATTTATTTTTATCTCTTGGTAATGTGCTAAGTGTCCTTTCTGATAAAAATGGATCCCATTGTCTAGTTTGGCTCTTCACTTCATTCCCCCTCCCTTCTATTCTGTTCCTTTGTCTCCTGCTGATGCTTTTCTGCCTCTTTTCCTCATCTCTACCTATACATCCTTCCCCTGCCAAGTGGCTCCTTGCTCCCTCAGATATGCTTTCCAGACATCTAACCCTGTTCATCTCTTAGACATAATGCTGGGTAAATTCCTTCCTTTCTCATGCTGGACATTCATGTCTGGCTTGTGGATACATCACCAAATAAAATTAGAGCAAAAAAAAATTGCAGTCCTGTTCCAATATGTTGATCCCGAGCAAAGCACCTTTACATTAAATGAAAATGAACTGAGCACCACTCACAGCAGGCTGAATGCATTAAAGCACAGAGCCTTACAAATCCATATTTTGTTTTTCATAACCAGACCATGTGTGTTAGTGTTGTGTGTATACATAGGGTAGGGGGGGTTAAATGATTTTCATTCATATTTATCCTGCTCTTTGAACCGCTGCTTTCTTTACATGGACAAATAAAACTTCCTTTTATGTTTAGAGGATATTTTAATTACATTTTACAAAAATACAGTCCAACAGATACATTTACACCTGTTAAAAGCAGAAGTGTTTTACTGGCTGTAAATGCGTTTCTCCACTAAAGTTGGCGTTTTTTGTTGTTTAATTTTTAGGTGGTCTATTTTTTGCAAAACCCATGCGTTCCAAAGGCTATGTGACAATGTTAGACCCGTTTCAACAGCTTTATGGAAAAAGAATGGGAGGGCTGCTGTTTATACCCGCTCTAATGGGAGAGATGTTTTGGGCCGCAGCCATCTTCTCTGCATTAGGTAAGGGATCAGCAGTAAAAACATTAGTTCACTATCCAGAGGGAGTTTTAAAAAATCAGAAATGCATAACAGAAGCACCAGTTCAAAACCAACCCCTGAACCCAGAAACTACTTTAAAATGCGAACTACCCTGGCCAGACAGTTTTTAAAAGGACAGTTGTCTTCTAGAGATACCCGATTATCAGAACCTTGATTATCTCAGTATACTTTAAAGCATTTTGTTATTTTCAGTCACACAATTTTTGTTGAAAGCCTCAAGATCACACCAACCAGGAGTAATAGGTGTCAAAGAAAGAGGATAGTCACACAACATTTTTGATAGTGCATATAAATGCTATAATCCCTAGCATTCGACCATTGTAGGAGACCTAGCTGTAAAACAATTTCAACGGATCATAGAACATTGAAGCTGTGACTGATCAATGAACCTAAGTCTTGTTAAACTCTGAATGCATCTGTATTTGGAAAAATAAATAACATTCTTAGGTTTCAAAAATGATTCAGAGAACTAATGGTTCAGAAAAGGAAGAGTAATATTTATATATAGAAAATCACACCTCCATTCTCCCATCCCTATTAGAGATTTGAATTTTGCTATCCCTTCAAAAATGGAGAAAACTCTTGAGTTAAATCACCATTAGTGGTCGTGATTCAAACCAAGTAACACACAGCGTGCACATATATAGTACTGCTTTACAGGACAATCTTTTTTTAAACAAAAAATAAAATTTCAAGCTTCTTTCCAACTGTGCTCTGATTAACTGCAAAGCACTGGGGAACTTGTTCTCCATAATTTCATCACAAGACCCTTAAGAATCTGAGAGCAAACTGCCTGCTGAGGTGATGGGAAGTGAATGACTCAAAGAACTTTCTGAGAATTTAAAATGTTCTTTCTTTTTGAATGAAGATCAATTGATTTTTGAGAAGGCTTTATGTTGTATTTCAAAGCAAGAAAGTAAGTATTGTGAATGCCTTTCTAGCATATTATATTAACAAGTGGTAATTAAAGACTCTAAAATGGAGAGGTTTCCCCATTTTAGCTACTATTTGAACAAAGTCAACCATTTTGTGCTCCCACATTTACTGGACCATTCTCCCCTATGAAGGTTATATCCACTATGGGGAATAAGTTTTGACTGAATTTCCTCATAGTTCTTCACTTGGGAGAAAGGGACAGGTTTGCAGCAGTCTAAGAAAGGTATGTGGTTCCATCCCTGAACCCATGAATCTTGGAGGCTCTCTGAAGGCATCTGTGAAGAAACAGCATGCCTCCCACTAGCCCCCTGAAGCCCTAAGACAACACAGCTTCTGCAGGAGCTGTACTGCTAGGTCTTTCCCAACTATGGGTTCACACAGAACTTAGTGATTACATACAGGAGAGATGCCACACCTGCAAGTCATTGTGATGGTTTAAATTAAACATTCTGCAATTAGTGGGGGAAGGATTTTTAAAATGAATGATAAAAGATGCATTCATGTGACACTGTTGGGGTTTTTTTGTTGTTTTTTTCATCTAAGGAAAATATACTAATTGCTTTATTGAGATTCACTGTTTGAATGAATGTTAAAGTTTTGTGCTGTAGAAATAAAGTGTATTTAATCAATACTACAAAAGCAATTAATTTCTAGAGTAATGTCCATACACACAACATCTGGAAACACAGGGGGCTGGCCACTTTGCCCCCACGTAAGCAGCTCAAAGTGGACTTAAAGCAATTGAAGAAGGTGGATGGAGAATTCCACCTGGGCAGGGAAATTAGCCTCTGCTGTAAATCCAGTGGAAGAGTCTCTTCTTCTCCCCCTTATCCCAGCCATTCCTCCACCCTCCTCAGGAGCTCCAGGAGGTTTTCTGTCTCCCTGGGATGAGGCAGAATACAGCTCCACATCACTCCTTACTGTCAACTGGATCTTAAAAGAAAAAAAACAGGCCAAAGAAAGCAAAGTACAGTTTTATTTTGCAGTGTGTGACATATCTTGCAACTGGCTTCTGAAAGGAGACTGAAGAGAGCAGAATAGCTAACGTCTTTTGTTTTCCCCTCCAGGTGCCACCATAAGTGTGATCATTGATATTGATGTCAATATTTCAGTGATTGTTTCTGCCCTGATTGCAATTATGTACACTCTGGTGGGTGGACTCTACTCAGTGGCCTATACTGATGTGGTTCAGCTCTTCTGCATCTTCCTGGGGCTGGTGAGCTTGCTCATTTATATTTTGTTGTTGTTGTTTTTTCTAAGCCTAGTGGTCTTGCTCTGGAAAATGGGCCAAATCCAGAGGCCCAGAGCCCAGCCTAACTGACCGATTGGGAACTGAGTATGGTCACTGGGAGTGGGGAGAAGAAATCCTTCCCCTCACCATGCTGCGAGCAGTGTGGTTCTGCAGAGACATTACTTCAGCCTAGTGGCAGTATAAAGTAGCCTTCCACAGACCCAAAGAGCTTCTGCTCAAAGGAGGACTGGAAGATTCTCACAGCAGTGGATCTACACACCTGTCCTATAACCAACCAGTCCTGCCCCCTCTTCCTCATGCAAAGCCTCCACATCCAGCCTGCACAGCAGAACTGCTCCAGTTTGATTCCAGAGGGAGCTCTGTGAGCGCAGAGCTGCATTTGTGCCAGTGAGCCCATACACTGATGACATGTAGGAGTTTGAAGGAGGGACACAGGACTCTATTCTCTGGCTCATTCCATCCCTTTGAACCACTCAGGCAATGCCAAACCTCTTGTAACTCCTCAGCTGGGGATACACCTGGTATAGGGGAGTCCCAGCTGACATAGTCACCTCCCTCCCAGCAGCCTGTGGCACAGAGGGTGAAGAAGTGCAAGAGGGTGAGCAGCGAGAGGGGGAACTGCTCCAGAAATCCCCAGCTGGTATATGGTCCCTAGGGCACCATAGCCTTCAGGCACAGTTCAGAGCAGTCTCTAGACTGTCCTAAACTATGCCAGGGTTTGGGATTAGGGCAGAGAATCATGGATCCATTACTGAATTTACTGAGAATCCCCTCCCCTTCTGTGCAGTTCAACATAAACTGGACGCAGCAAAGAATCTTCCCTTTAATCATTGTATGTGTGTATGGTACATACAACAGCTATGTTAAACGAACATTATTAAGATTGCAAAGTCAAACATTCAATTCTTAGGAAATGCCAGAATTAAAGATACCTGTGAAACTTTAATTTGGCCCCCTTATGTGTATGTATTGCAGTACTGTCTTTAATTACCTGATCACATACTATTTTATCCCACATTAATCCTGCTTCATTTGGCTCTCCCTGTTTCTGTTCCTGTTCCTGTCTCCCAGTCCCAGTTTTCTTTGCCCATCCAATCCCAGTCTCCCCACAACCCCACCTCCTAGTCCTAGTTTCCCTCTCCCATCCTGATGGCCTTCACCCCAGTTTCCACCCTCTAGTAGGTCCAGCTCTTGTTCCCTCCGCAGTCAAATCAGGCAGCTTCCTCTTTTAAGATGCCTGATCCCAGCGGAGGCTAATGAGAACACAAGAGAGACAGGCTCCCTGTTCTCAGTTCAGGTGCCCAGACCTGGACTCAGCACAACTCACAGCACCAAGTGTGTCAATTGAAAGGAAGGTGCTGTTCAGCTCTGGGCTGGAGCATGCCCAGTATGGATAGAATCTTCAGAGATTTTAGTTCCTACAATCTAAGAAGATCCTACTGAGCATATGCAAATTGTGATTTTTCTAAAGCTTAGAACTTGACTAAATTTGAACAGAATGTCATGGGGATGGACAAGGCACATCCCTGGGGCAAACACCAGCCCCTCTTGCCAAATTTCAAGTGACTGCTCCAATAACAGGGACATGCAGATGATTTCATTTTCCTGAAGGGGACTCAGCTTTCAAAAGTTTGGGAAACACTGATTTATAGCATAATTCCCTCCTATCTATATACATTTGGTTTTTATGTGTACCTACATTATGTGCCAAACTTTCCACTGGCATAACTCCGTGGACTTCAGTGCTGTGGTGAATTAGCCACTGGGCCAACAGGGCCCATGCCCAGGGGTCCCGGCCAATTGGGGAGTCCCCGGAAAAATGGGCACCCCTGCACAGGAGTGCCAAGCAGGCAGGCGGGGGCGAGCCCCTGCGCCCTAACCCCGTTTCCTTGGTAGGACCACCAGGCAGGCAGAGTGGGGGGCAGGATAGCAGGGGGGCTGCAGGCGGAAAGGGTGGGGAGGGGCCCCCACTTCCTCTGGCCCAGGGCCCCACAAACCCCTAATCCACCTCTGCTTCAGTGAAGTTACACCAACAGAGAATATGGTTCTCTTGTGATTAAACTTGGCATTTGAGCTAAAGCACACAGTAAGAAGAAAAATACTGAGTAAAATTTTTCATACAATAATTTCAAATTTTTGCACAGACTGTTACACTCAATAAAATGTCACTCTTTGGTTATAGTGGATCAGTGTTCCTTTTGCAATGTCACATCCTGCAGTTAAAAACATTGGATTCACAGCTGCGCAGAATGAGTCTTGGCTTGGATCCATTGAATCACTTGATGTCTACTCATGGCTTGACAATTTCTTTTTACTGGTAAGTAATGGCTTGTATGAGAGAATAAAGCATTTAATCATTCATAGTGTATTGCCATGTGACGTGTGAATGTAAAGTGGCTAATTAAAAGTTGCCAGTGAACTGTGCATGGAGGTTTTTAACTTCTTCACTGCTGATGAATATACTAGCTATATCCTGATAGTCAATTGATTTCAATGAAATTTCAGTAGAACATGGCAGCAGATCAGCTGAAGTGGAGGGCCATCAGCAAAGCAGTTAAATATTGTTTAGCTAAAAGAGTTGACCTAGTTAAAGGTAAGGAATAGAATAAGGATACGATTTAACAGATGGCATTCTTGCCAGAGGACTATATTGTAGGAGGCAATAAATACTATATACAGCTGATTAAAGATGCTACAGTTGTAGGTGAGTTAGAAAACCTTGGATGGATGGATGGACAGACAGATGCAGGCCAGAGTGAAACTGAGTTTAATATTTTCAAAATCCATTTAATATAGGAACGGCTGGTAACTCCATGTATTCTTAAGGTTGCCCAACACTTTGCATTATAACATCCTTCTTTTCAGTTGCTTATAACTTTGGACGTATAACTTTCCATTCCAGGTGAATGCCTCAGGCTGAATGAATTTATTTATTTATAAAATTTCAGCCAAAATGGTTCAGCTGTTTCTGAGAATGGATCTAGAAAATACATAGGATTTTTTGCCTATGTTAAAAGATTCTGGCAACCTTTCCTTTGAGAAGTCAAGCGCCCCCATGCTTTAGAGCAGGAACTTGGAATTTGATGCCCTGTGTGCCAAGGATGTAACTTTTGCTATTCCTCTGAAAATCAGGCAAATTTGGCCAAGTTGGGGAAGGAGTAGAGGAATAGAACATATTACTGGTCTCTATTACTCTGTTAGCTCAAGGGGAAGAGGTCTGTTTGGTGGTTCTGAAGGTTCCAACCCTATTGATGGCCCATGAGGGTGTCAATATAGTGCCACATGATGGAATTTCTGTTTCTCCATTTGCTCTTTTTAAAAACGTAGGAAGTTACATGCATAAACGCAAAAAAAAACTGTGTTAAAAAAACACTATTAAGACTGTAAAGCCAAACATGCAAAAATGAAGAAATGTCAGAATTAAGGTTGCCTGTGCAACCTTAATTGGGCCACTTTATGTGTATGCATTATGATAACAGTTGTTAACTATATAATTACATACTACTTTTTCCACAGGACCCCTGCCACATTCAGTGCACAGGATGGATGGTGCTCAGTTAACGAGCAGCTGTTTAATATTTTGTTTTTTCTTTGTTCAATATGTGGCCCCATTCCTTATATTTTGGACACTATTCAAACCCTGTTCTCAAGACAGACTTGACATTGCAACCTTAATAATGTACTTTTAATGTAGATTTTTGTGTGTCATTTTAAATTTACTCAAACATGATTCCTGTTATTCAACAAGATAGAAGAAGAGATGCACCATTTTTAAAAGAAAAAATATTGTTTCTCTACCATTATGATGGTTTGAAAGTTCTGTGCCACTGCTTTCTTAGACTTTCCATTGATATTACTTTGGCTGCATGGCTTAGAAGAATTATTTGAGGACTGGGTTGAAAGTACATAGTTGCATGGTTTGGAGGTCTAAAACATGTGTCAAGTACAAAGAACTGTTCATTTCAAATCCCACTGGTGCCTAAGGTAGATCTTGTTGGCTTCAAGAGGGTGCTCTGTATGTCAGTTCTCCATCTATGAAATTAGTTGATAATATTTCCTAATCTTTATTGTAAGGCTTAATTAGTATTTGTGATGCTCATTGAGATCTTTGGATGACTGGTGAAGTGCAAAGTATTAATAATAATTGTTCAAGGGAATGGCCTGCACAGAAAAGGAGAGATGTGATTACACATCAAAAGATTTCAGTGTTATTTGAGAGAGTGAAAGTATTCAATTGTTATGGGTTGTGCCTGTTGAAATTTTCGATAGTATATATAATTGAGGTAGTAACAACACTGGATAGGAGCAGATTATTGGTGTTGCTTGTTACAGTCTATATAAATATATCAGAGAAACCCTCAGTAAACCAGAAATGATAGAATATTGTTTATTGTACTTGCAGATGTTGGGAGGAATCCCATGGCAAGCATATTTTCAGCGAGTTCTTTCTTCTTCGTCTGCCACATATGCTCAAGTATTATCCTTTCTGGCTGCTTTTGGCTGTCTTGTGATGGCCCTTCCTGCGATACTCATTGGTGCAATAGGAGCATCAACAGGTAAATGACTGACCACAGTGAATATAACTATGGCTATCAGTGTGTGAAAACCCTTATAGAGTGTAAAAATAACAGGAGTACTTGTGGCACCTTAGAGACTAACAAATTTATTAGAGCATAAGCTTTCGTGGGCTACAACCCACTTCTTCGGATGCATTGTGTTCAATATAATCCAGCCAGGTAATATCATTAAACTTCTCCTGATTTCCTTTACACAAGAATAGACATGAATGTAATTGTATAGAACATTCTTCTGACTCAAAGTATCCCACAGCTCAGTCTAATGATGTAAATATTTAATATATTTTGAATACACTCATGAACTACCTATTGTAAATGTATAAAACTACCTTCTATTGAATGGAATCAGAGCAAGTTAATTGTGTATGTCATAGATCTTATGCAAATACCATCTAACAGAGATTCTACTATTGTTCAAGTGGTACAACCCTGTGCTATTACAGCTGGAATTTTGTCCCCATTGCTGCCATTATTTTGCCTCTCCTAGGTGTCAACAGACTTGGTACAATATTTCAGTTTGAGTTACATCCTGATATTAGCTATTTATTATTAATAATATAATTTGCATTTATATTGCCTAGGAGCCAGTCAATGATCATGGACCCATGTTGTTAGGCATTGTGCAAGCATAACAAAACGATATTTCCTACTCCAAACACCTGGGCAGTGGCTATGTAGGTAAAGCCACCTGGTGTTCAGCAGTCGCTGACACATATCCTGGGCCATTCCTTCCTTCTACTCCAATTCAGCAACAGAATGGCAGGAAAGGTGGTTGCTCCTATTGTTGTACTGCTCTCTAGGGAAGTCTGAGGTCTTAATACACCATGCGGTCCTGCACAGGAGCTTGAGAAACACAGAGTTTCCTTAGTTCTAGTTTTGGTCACGAGACACATAGTGCTGCCCCAGGGAAGTGGTCAATGCAGAAGAGTGATCTGCAGCACCAACAGTCTGTTTTCTGTGATGCTGCTAATGATTGGGAGGAATTGGGGGCAGAAGACCTTTCCTAGACTGGGCCTCATGGGGATAGTCCAGTGCACTGATTTCAAAGAGTCAGATAAGGGCAGCAGGCCACGTGGGCACCCAAAAGGCAGTCAGGAAGGTTTGAGGGCCACTGCATCAGAACATAGCAACAAAAAAGGAAGGGGCCTTTCGGGTGCAGAGGTTAGTGGGGAAGGCGCTAGCACAACTTCTTAGTTTCATTGTGAAATCAGCAAATTTAGCCAGGTATATTTGGAGTGTTCAGGCTGAAATGAGCCCACCCCTCCAACTGAACCTCAGGTGGTACAAACCCCCTGCAAAGCGGAACAGCTGGTTTAGATTTGCTGCAACCATCTGAACTCAAATTGGCAAGGTTTGCATAGGCTCAATGAGCATGAATGAACATGACAATATGCACTGGCTCACTGATTATTCACAAAGGCAAAGAAGTCAATATGTATCCTACACCATCAATTACATATATATGTATATATATTTGTATTACAGATTGGAACAAGACTATGTATGGTTTACCAGACCCCACAGAGAGGCAAGAAGCAGATATGATTTTACCAATTGTGCTTCAATATCTTTGTCCTGTCTATATTTCTTTCTTTGGCCTTGGTGCAGTATCTGCTGCTGTAATGTCATCAGCTGACTCTTCAATCTTATCAGCGAGTTCTATGTTTGCTCGAAATATTTACCAACTTTCATTTCGACAAAATGTGAGATTAAATTTCAATTTATTTTTGTAATGAAAAGGGCTTGGGGAGACTTTCAAAGTGACACTGAAAATTTTCTCCATTTGTTTCTATCTCTAGTAAGATAAAATGTAACATTTCTCTTATTACAGTATATTAAATAAGAAAATGAAAAATCATAGAAATCCTGGTGATTATGATTAATTACATAGGTGAAGAAGTAACATCTGATGAAACTGCATTTAGCTCTATTCATGATGTTACAATATACTTGAACAATTCCTAATTATTATTGTCAGTACAAGTTTTATTAAATCATTATGAGACATTTTCAGAACACCAATTAACATCAAAAATGCTTAGAAATCATTTGACAAATTGAAATTGAGCAGAATGAACTATAGCTTAAAAGCCTGTCAGTGTAAATGAAGTGATATGTTCTCACATCAACAAATTGTTTAATGATGTGCTTATTTTTAAAATTCAGTTCTATCAATCTACTTGTTCTTTTGCTTGTGCCCTATATTAAACTATATTTCCCTAAAGCTGCAAAAATTTGGGGGTGACAGCCACGCCCCTTGAATTTTTTTCTTCTTACATGCTATATCTCTTCCTAAATCTTTCACAATATCTGTTTATGAATCATGCAAAATCCTCTGATTTTTCAGAGTCTTGTATATGATCTAGTCAAAATAAAAGTCATACATGCATTACTATGGAAAACTAACACTTTTTTCTTTTTTCTTAGGCTTCAGAGAGAGAAATAATTTGGGTCATGCGAATCACTATTTTTGTCTTTGGAGCAGCAGCAACAGCAATGGCACTGCTAGCTAAGTCAGTTTATGGACTCTGGTATCTCAGTTCTGATCTTGTTTACATCATCATCTTCCCTCAACTCTTATGTGTGTTATTTATCAAAGGAACCAACACTTACGGTGCCATTGCAGGATATTTGTTTGGCCTCCTTCTCAGAATTACTGGAGGAGAACCATACCTCTACCTTCAGCCCTTGATCTTCTATCCTGGTTACTACGCAGATAAAAATCATATATACATCCAACGCTTCCCATTTAAAGCACTTGCTATGCTTACCTCCTTCTTCACTAATATAGCAGTCTCCTACCTAGCAAAATATTTATTTGAAAGCGGTTCTTTGCCACCAAAATTAGACTTCCTTGATGCTGTTGTTGCGAGGTACAGTCAAGAAAACATGGACAAAGCAACTCTTGTAAAAAGTGACAATATTATATTAAATGAACTTGCACCTGTGAACCCTCGGCGCAGTCTGACTCTGAACTCAACTTTCACAAATAAGGAGGCCTTCAGTGACATTGATTCAAGTCCAGAGCTATCCAATGCTGAAGATAACTTGGTGACCAACACAAAATGAAATTCTGCTTTCACATAAAATGCAGTGCAACAGGGTATCCCATCAAGAATGGTAAGAGGCATTTTAGCAGAAGAAAAACAGGGACCAGGAATAAAATGTCACTGCACAATTCTTTAAATCACTTCTATGAGAGTGGGAGCCTGTGAAATAAACTGTTGTATTTTATTATCAAACTTGTTGCATTGAGTTATAGAATATCAAACAAAGGATAAATTCAGCATCTCCCCCCCATGCAAACAGATCTTGATACTAGAGAATTTAATAAATATATAAAACACAAAATATACGTAACAGAAAACAGTGAAAACTATTTAGGTCAGCCAGTATATAAAAATATTTGACATTTGTCATCTGTGAGATTATGATATGGTCACTCTAAAATAATGAGCAGTCAATATTATATTGGCACAAATTGAAAAATATATGGTCACTACTGTAAGTGATTCATTGCTAATTATCAGGTTGCTTGAACAAGAAGTAATAATTAACAACCTTTCTTGCTTTTTCTTATAACAAATTTCGTAAAAATACATCCAGTATTTTATTATTTCTACTAAAGGAATTAAGTGTGTGATTAACATTAAGTTCCTTATAGGAGGGTTAAATGTATTATTCTTAAAAAAGGTTCAAAAAGATATCACTATTTTAATGTGGTGTTATCTTATACAATATGCAAGATAACCTTAAATAAAGTATATTACTACAGATGCCTTTCCTTTCCAGCTCTGGGAGGCTGTCACCAATAGAGGATAAAAAACTTGTTTATAAAAAAAAATTAAAGCAATACATTGAGTTGAAAATTAAGCTCTGGGTGAAGTAATGGGAATTTATGCTTTCTAGAAGTAAATACAGTTTTGCAGTTGTGAGAAAAGAAACAATTTCTTCACTCCGTGTCAGAATGAATATTGGACATAAACAGTCTGCTGGTGTGGCAATGTAACAGTGCAGAGTCCATTAATAGTAAGGGGCTCCCAGAGGGCTGGGTGGGAGATGGGGGTGGGAATCCTGTAGAAAATTTTGACTTTTCATCAACAAAACAAAACATTTTCAAACAAAAAATGCAATCTATTTTATGTGGGGGGTTGCTGTGAAAAGTCTAAATGTCCTATGGAAAGTGGACATGTGGAAAAAATCACTTTGTTGAAAACCCAAATTTTATTGAAAAACAGTTTTGACAGAAAAATTTTGGGCAGCTATAGGTGTCAGCCTTCAAGGTCAGAGTAACTAATAGGAAAGGCTAATCCACACACCCAACAGGTGGCACAGTGATGCTTGTCAGCCAAAGGGAGTCCTCCTTTGTTAGGAGGGCTGCTATTGGTCAATCCCAATGCCTCTTTGGAACACTAGGATTGGTCAGCAGGTGGATCAGCACCCATAAAAGGCAGCACCAGACTGAAGTTGGCCTCTTACTGCTCAGCCCCCTGGCACAGCAAACTAAGAGCAAATAAAATTGCAGCCACTTGACCATATCTTAGATGTCTGTGTCTCTTCTCATTAGTACGGTCCTTCCCAATGGGAGGCGTAACAACTAAATTGCTCTACAATGAAGAGTTATACTCCAGTAATTCTCCAATGATCCTTGTAAAATTAACAGATGACAGAAAAGTGTAAAACTGAAATTCATATTTCCTTATGATTTGATTACTGGTGACAGTTTCTTATTAACTTTCATGAAACTATGAATTATAGCAGAGAACAGAAAATGTAAGAATAAGTTTTGCTGCTAAAGGAAGAAGCCATCAACTTTTGCATTCAGTGTCAACGAAACTTTCACAAGGTTGATCCTTAAATTTTTTTGCTCCTTTTGTGGAGTTTTAATTCTATATGTATATTATGTATGTACATAAAATTCATTTTAGAAATGTTAATGTTTTCCAAAAGTCATATTTCAAAAATAACACTGCATCTCAGCTCTGGATGTGCACCTTATGAACTGCAGTGCTAGATTTAAAAGAAAAAAAGTCAAGCTCTAAGGACTGTAGATCAAAACTAGATCTCCTTCAAATGCACACATGGCCCAATACACAGTAGAAATGCCAAGTTTCTACTGTGTGAGTGAATGGAAGAGCAGATTCAGACCACTTAGGGGGCTCCAAAACCTGCTGCATGCACAGTGGCATTCTCCATTGGACCATATAGAAAGGGAAGGAGAAAAGTTGCTGGGGTTTGGCCAGTGGGTCTATGCAGGGAGGGTGCAAGGATGTTTTGCGCCCTAGGCAAAACTTCCACCTTGCGCGCCCCCCCCCCCCCCCCCCCCCCCCCCCCCCCCCCCCCCCCCCCCCCCGCACCCGCCCCCCCCCCCCCCCGCCGCCCCTCCCCCCGGTCCGGAGAGCCGTGCGGCAGCTCCCCGCCCCAGCTCACCTCTGCTCTGCCTCCTCCCCGAGCACGCCCTCGCTGCTCCACTTCTCCCGCCTCCCAGGCTTGCGGCGCCAATCAGCTGTTTGGCGCCGCAAGCCTGGGAGGGAGAGAAGCAGAAGCCCCCCCGCTTACATGCTGCAGGCTGCCCTCCCCGCGCCCCCCTGCCCCAGTTCCCTCCGCCTAAATGCCGACGACGACCGGGGCGGCCGAAGATCTGGCCTCCGCCGAAGGACCCGAAATGCCGCCCCCCAAATGCTAGCGCCCTAGGCGACAGCCTAGGTCACCTAATGGGTTGCACCGGCTCTGGGTCTATGTACATCTCAGATCTGCTAGTCCAAAGCCTCCCATTAGCTGACACAGTGAACCATGCCTGTACTTGCATTCATAATGCAGGTGACCTGTGCCCTAGTTCCAGGATGAGTATGAGGACTCCATCTGGCAACCATTTGTAAATGAACCATGCAAAGCCTTGATACTGTGGCTCTTTATAGGGAAAGCAGGGCCGGCTCCAGGCACCAGCTGGTGCTTGGGGGCGGCGGATCCCTCCGTCCCTCTCGGAGGGAAGGACCGGCCGCCGAATTGCCGCCGAAGAATGAAGCGGCTCAGAAAAGCAGCCGCCGAAGTGCCGCCGATCGCGGCTTTTTTTTTTTTCCTTCACCACTTGGGGCGGCAAAAAAGCTAGAGCTGGCCCTGAGGGGAAGCCAGGATCTCACCCTTCAGGCTAAATCCTAACACCTTCCATGGACTTGGAAGGCCTGAACATAGCAGAACTACTGAAGATCTGCTGGTTCATGGGGACAACCTGCAGTGAAGCTGTACTGAGGGCAGGGCTGAGCAGAGGATGGAGATTCCATTTCACAAAGGATTTCAAGATTTTGAAAACTGGTTTTGTTCCAAATTGGACTGAAACCCAGCAACTTCTAAATTCTCAGCTAAAGGAAGTTCCAAAAAAAAAAGTTTGGATTGATTGAAACATTTTGCTTAGTCACAATCATTATTTCAATTTTGACTTTTAAGATTATATATTATAATACAGAATTTAAAAAATTCAAAATGAAGCATTGCTTCATAATAAAAATCAAAGTGTTTCATTCCAAAAATATTAAAACTTTTTATCTCCTAAGTGAAATTTCACTGAAACCAGCACAAATGTGTTTCAGTTTCAACAGCACTGCATTCACTGATGGAAAATGGTTCCATCAAAGTTTTCCCAACCAGTTCTAAATAGGGGATTCCACATCTGTTACTCTCTGAGTAGCATTATTCCATGGCATCACTATTGCAGTAGAGGGCAGAGGTTCTGGAACCATTTGTATAGTGGGGGCGCTGAGAGCCATTGAACCAAACTGTAAACCCTGTATATAATGGAAACCACTTCAAGCCAGGGGGTGCCGCAGCACCCCCAGTCCCCCTAGTTCCAGCACCTATGGCAGAGGGGGAAGGACAGTCTGGGGTGTGGGCATTGGTTCCACAACTCTGCCAATCCACAGAACACACCTATATGCTTGCATAGCGGGGAGTTATAGAAACTGCAGAGGGACTGTACGGATGCTCTCCTTCAAGTGTGGGAAGATTCCAAGGTCCCCACAGAGAACTCTAGCATAATGCCTGGCTACAAGGCTTGATCTACACTACAAACTTAAGCAGGTATAACTACAACTCTTAGGGGTGTGGAAAATCCACACCCCCGAGCGACATAGCATACCAACCTACCCCCGGTGTAGACAGTGCTATGATGCCAGGAGGGTTTCTCCCGTCGGCATAGCTGCTGCCTCTCGGGGAGGTGGAGTACCTGTGTTGATGGGAGAAGCTCTCCTGTGCAGCTGCGCCACTGCAGCACTGTAAGTGTAGACAAGCCCCAAGACTTCTTGCCTTAGTTCAGTGTATCTAACATTAGGGAACAAAGATGTGAATACAAGTAAGGGCCATACCCGAACCTTGACTTTTGCGAAGAAAAACCCATTGACTTTCTGATGTTTCTTTCCTAGTTTTGCATTTTGTGGACAGTAGTGCTAAATCCGCTATACAATCAATAAGGCCAAATTATGGAATAAGTTCATTTTCAGACACTGAGGTCATTATTTCTAGGCCTACCATTGTGGATAAAGTATTCTTATCATGATTGTAGGCTTTATTTTCATACTCTTAAAATTACTGTGGAAAACATGCTTATTTGGTAGGTTTGTAGAACTTTCTGCATGAGATTTGTTCATAACATCAAGCTTATTACATAGCCATGATGTCAAAAATGAATGCAAGTAATCTATGAACTATTATTATGTCTATAGCTGTCCACATAGGATGATATGTGTATTATAACTAAACTAATCTTATGTGAACCTGAACTGAATGTAAACTTTAAGTGAATCGCATATGGCAACAGTCAGATTTAGCCTTTTATTTTCATATAGTACAATAATTTAGGAATTAAAATATAAATATCACAGAAATAAAATGGTCATTTATTTTGCCTTCTACCCGTTAAGCTCATTTGAACAAGTACAATGCGCAATTAGGCAGTAAGTTATTGTAAGTCTGCTATTTAACAGGGTAGTATTTGTGGCTATTGTTATAAAATGTATATTTTTGTCTGTGTCAGAAATATTATATTAAAACTCTATACCTAGCAAGTCAAACAAGAACCATACTATAGATGTCTATGTTTTAACTGCATCAGTGCTGTATTAAATAGGGCCCAGGTAATTCAGGAAAATATTGTCTAGTTTTGGCTCTGTTTTTGTCCATCTATTAAAAACAAATATAAATTTATTTTATTATCAAGCAGAGTAAATTGTGTTTGGTTTATATACAACATATAGTACCAGAGAAATAAATTATCCTACAACTGGAACACTCATAAAGACCCAGGCAAGCTTCTGATCCTCATTTTATTTCACTTTACTGTGGCAGGGCCAGATTAAGGCATATGCACTATAAACCCAGGCCTAGGGCTCTGGTTCCTGCAGTCATGGGGTTACACCAGAATCTAATCTTTCATTTTTTAAGTAGCTTTCGATTCCTTGTGGTTGTGAAGGAAAGCTTGAAAACATGAACCCGATGAGTGTAACTAATGCCGTGTTATCTGCCTGATTCTGCAGACAGCCTGCAACCACAGCTCTGAAACATGTGACCTGCCCCATTCATCTTAACGCAGTGTTAATTCCCAGAGCCATTGCTTTGAGGGGCCCTGCCAGCACCACTTCATCAGAAGACTCTGTGTGTAGCAGGAAGAGAAGAGTGCAGTGGGCTGGGCCTTCTCATCCAAGCAGAACTTCACTCCGCAACTGCTAGAAAAAGTATTAGGTGATCCTCCCGCGGCTGTCTCCCTTGCTCTAGAGGATGAGATGTCACTGCGACTGTCCCTGCTGTTGGCAGAGGGCAAAGGGGGTAACTCATGCCACTGTTCTGCCTCATTGAGAGAGGGACGGGCCAGCCACTGTCACACCGTGTGGCAAGTGGAGCCACAGCTTGGGAGGTGGAGCCACTGGGGTGCAGTGGTTCATGTTGTGTGCCTAGATTCCTGGATTACCTACATCCAGTCCTGGTAATCTGGAGTCTGAGTCTGCTGTCCTTACGCTGGAATCAGTGAGAAATTTGCCTAAGCAAGGACTGCAGGATTGGGCCCCATTTGTGGAAAGGTGAGCAAAGAGCCCGACAGTCTGAATGAAGTGGAAATACAAAGTATTCTGTTGGGGTTCTTTTGTTTTTTAAAAGGAGGGTGGGGGGATTAAAACTGTTTCATCTTTTTTTTTTTCAGTTTTACAAAGGTAGGTAGCAATAGTATCTCCATTTTACACATGAAGACACTAAATGATAGAGGGTCGGATTTTCAATAGCATTTAGGCACCTCTGACTCCCTTGGAAATCAATGGGAGTTAGGCACCTAAACTGCTTCGGCACTTCTAAAAATCCCACTAATTCCTATTGATTTCAAGGGGAATTAGGGACCTAACCTGCTTAGGCACTTCTGAAAATCCCAGTAGGCACCTATCTGCATCTCTAGGCACCAGAGACACTGAGACTAAGATTAAGTCACTGATTTGTTCATCCAGCTTTTGGAAAATGTACAGGGTGCACCTGGATCACAGGCTGAAACAACTGGCTGGGATTACAAGAATGTTGGTACCCTGTATATATATTTCAATAATACAAACAATTAATTCAACCTACAGAGACAGAAATAGGAGAAAACATAAACAAGAGACTGTGATGTGCTTTTTTTTTTAAAGAAAGATCTCTTTTGATGTTTTATATATATAGTAGGTAAAATGTGATATACATGCCAGTCAGATAGGCAGCAGCCATAAGAAAATTCCCAGAGACTCTCTATAGGAAAAACTTTGAAAATTATTTTTTACTGGCTAATTTGTAGTGATGTAAAAGTTTTTGGTGAATTTATTAGATTGTAGAATGGGTCTTATTGCACTACTGGTGATCCTAACAACTACTAAAAACAGAACGCACATGACAAACATGGGAAGACGTACCACATTCCCCGATAATTTGGCAT